GAAGGGAGGGCAAGGGAAGGGGGAAAAAAGTAAGAACCAAGAGACTCATGTAATGGTACAATATCCCAATGATGAATGTAACTGTATTGTATACCTAAAATGTACCAATAAACTGAATGGGGAAAAAAATTAGAGCCCCCAAATTTAAAGACCCAATCCAAAATTGGGCATCTGAAATAAAAAGATACTTCTCAGATGAAGAATTAGAAATGTCAAGTAAATATATGAAAAAATGTTCAACATTTTTGGTCATTCGTGATATGCAAATTAAAACAACACTGAGATTTCATCTCACTCTAGAAGAAATGGCTGCTTTCAAGAAATCAACCAGTAACATATGCTGGTGGGGCTGTGAGGAAAAAGGAACCCTTCTCCACTGTTGGTGGGAGTACAGAATGGTCCAACCACTGTGGAAATCAGTGTGGAGATTTCTCAAAAAACTTAAACTGGAGGTTCCATTTGACCCAGCTATATCTCTTCTTGGTATCTTCCCAAGAGAATTTAAAGTCTCATACCACAGCAATATCTACACACCCATGTTTATACCACATAGTTTGTAATAGCCAAATCTTGGAAACAACCCAAATGCTCATTAACTGAAGAGTAGATAAACAAGATGTGGAGTTTTTTGTTTTGTTTTGTTTCGTTTTTTAGCACCAGGAATGGAACTCAGGACCTTGTGCTTGCCAGGCAGGTGTGGTGCCACTAAGCTACATCCCCAGACCAAGATATGTGTGTGTGTGTGTGTGTTTTAACACAATGGAGTACTACTCTGCCATAAAGAAGTATGAGCTTCAGACATTTATAGTTGAATGATGGACCTTGAGATTATACCCCTAAGTGAAATAAATCAGACACACATGTTTAAATACCGCATTGTTTCTCTAATGTGAGAAACCAAGAGTGGAAATAAGGACTGAAATGTACAATGGAGGTTGGGCAATGGGAAGAAAGTGTTCAAATGGGAAGGGGAACAGGGGAGGAGGGAGGGAGAAAGGAAGAAAGGTATAAGAAAAAAAGTGAAAACAGAAGGAAAAATGGAAACAAAGCTTTTGTACATAGGGAGGGGAGTGGGCTTGAGGGGGGAATGGGATAAAATAAAATGAAATTTATTTTTTAAAAGAGCGAAGGGGGGCGGGATTTAGCTCAGTGGTTTAGCTGCCTGCTGTGCAAGCACAAGGGCTCGAGTTCGATCCCCAGTACCAAAAAAAAAAAAAAAGAGAGAGAAGGGAGCAGGTCTGGGATGTCATGTGAAGTCATGGGCATCTTTTCTTTGGTGTCTTTTAAGTTGAGAGATATTACATCAGTGCCAGATATTACAAAAAGCCTCAGGAAACTCAGAATACTTGATTTGGGTGTCCATTTGCCATCTCAGTGAAATCTGTTTCTAAGGAGCAGTGAAGGTACCAACAAGATTTCCATGAATTAAAGAATTAATGGACCATTATACAAAGCAGATAGTGTACAGATTTAGATGAGGGTAGGAGAAATAGGACATAGCTGGAAGTGATACAGGGTAAATACGTTTTTGTGTTTTTAAAAATTTTTGTAATGTGTCCGGGCTGTGTGGGAAGAGTTAGTTGAATGGAAAATGCTAAAGAATCAGGAGAAAGAATAACTGATGGTGCAGGGATTGGTCTCAGGAAGGTAAAGGGTCACCTTACCCTATGAAAGTAGAGGGAAGATAAGGAGGTAAGGCTGGGGTGAGGTAGGTAGAAGTCAAGGTAAGATGGCAAGGGGAGAAATCAAAGCTAATTGCCTCTGACTCCCCTATAAATGCCAATGAAGAGTTTTTTTTAAAGAATAAACTTTCTTGAAGAGTGAAAAATGTTTGGCAAAGCTGTGTGCTTTCCTAGAGGTGCCTGGCATGTAAAGAGAAGCACTGGTGGTATGGCCAAAGCTGCATTTCTGCAGTGTTCTCAGTGACACAGAGAAATAGATGGATCAAAACAGGCCTGGGAGTGTAAAACGTGTAAACAGACAAGGTGAGGAGATTGAGGGTACAATAAGATCGGTTTAAGCGGTGGGCAAGATGATGCATAGAGTTACAGAGGCAGAGAGACATGTTTCTATGAGTTGAGAGGCTGATAGAATGGGAAATAGATGTAGAACACCTAGAAGGATGGAGGCTATGGGCATGTGGCTTTGGATCTCAGAGGAGGGATAGATCGGGAAAGCAGATGGAGGGAAAGGGTGTGAGTGCTGAGATAGAGAAATAAGTCTTTGCAACTAGAATACACAGTATTTCTGTGTAATGAGGTTGCCCAGGATGACAGTAGCGCTGGGATGGAGGATGCCTGGAACAGTGCCAACAGAATAGGGTTATGGTAGATTACAAAGGTTAGAGTGGGTAAAGTAGTGTGGAGGTGGGTGGGAGGGGTCTGAGCTGGGTCTAACTTTTGAGTGTGAAGGGCTTGAGGAAATAGATGTCCTGGGGATTGAGGAATCCACAGGTATGCCTAATGCAAAGGCCTAGGGTTCTGTTTATGGTTTGAGAATCTTGCCTCCCACGAACAGTTTAACAGACTACGAAATGTGAGTAGATGTGAAGGGCTGCTGGGTCTAGAGTCACTCCTTTGTCAGGGGTAAGGGTCAGGGAGGATAGCCAGCACAGAGGGAGGGGTGTGTGTGTGTGTGTGTGTGTGTGTGTGTGTTAGGGAGAGAAGAGTCCTGCGGGGGGGGGCACGGAGGACTGGCGCCCAATCTGGGTGTGAAGACGTGGCGGGATGTGCGATGGTTTGCAGGGTGCGGAGTGTGAGGAGCCCGTGAAAGGAGGAGGCAGAATGGGGTGAGTCCAGGGTGCGCAGAGTTCGGGCCCTGGGGTGTGTGGTGGGAAAGGACTGCGGAGAGGGGCACGCGTGGCGTGAGGAGAGGTGAGGAGAGGAGGAGGCTGACACGGGGGGGGGGACGGGGGGGCTGTTGCGGGGACAGGGTTTGGTGAGGGGTGAAGGCCTGAAGATACGGACTTTTCATAGCGTCAGGGTGTAGGGACGGGGACTGCGGTGAGGGGCCAGGATGCGCGGTGAGGGTGGGGGACCCAGGTGGGAGGCCGGGGTGTCTGAGGGCCCGCGGGCTAGGAGGTCGGAATACGGGCGGGCGGGCTAGGGGCCTCCTGTCAGCCGGGGGTCACGTGTGCGCGGGCTGGGATGAGGGCTCAGGGCAAGGGGCGGAGCAAGGGGTGAGGGTTCGAGGCCAAGGGTCTGCTGCCAAGCGGTTCAAGCCCCCGGGACCCCACGTCAGGGCCCCGGGGAGCCCGGGGTCGGGGGTCGGGGGTGGGGGCCCAGGGCGGGCGACTCGCTCACCTCCGGCTGGGCCCGCACTCGCTTCCGGTCAGGTACGGCGCGACCGCTGGAGGGAGGCGGAAGGCGGTGCCTCATAACGACGCCCCGCCTCTTTCCCTTACCTAACCCGCCCTCGGAATGGCCTCCTACGTTCATTGGCTGGCCGCGGTGAAAGGGGCGGGGCCATTCGGCCAAGCGGTCTCTGACAGGCGGAACCCCGGATGGAGGAGGCTTGAGAGCGAGCCGGAACAGAGCGGATTTGAGGCTGGGCCGCCAGTTGCAGAACCTCCGCTCCCGACGGTTCTGTGCTTACCCCGTCTGTCTGTGTGTAAGGCCACGTCCCAGGGCCCTGTGTGGTCACTGTGTCCCTAGTGTCCAGGACAGCACCTGGCAGGGAAGGTGCTCCTCAACATGTGTTAGATGAGTAGCTGAACATCGAGTATTTACGTTTTCACAGCTCGTATGTACGGCCCACATGGTTGCACATTGCCGACAGAGCACTGTCCCACAGAAGAGGAAGCCAGGGCTCAGGGCGACGAGGCTCAGGGATGAGGCAGAGCTCCATACAGGTACACGAAGCTAGAAGGGGCTGAGCACTGTTCCAGCCCAGGTCTGCCCGGTGCTCCTGGTCTCTGGGCAGTGGTGCCACGCGAGCACAGGCAACAAAGCTGTTCAGCACTTAGGGGCCAGGCGCGTAAAGCTTGGGGAGAGAGGAAACTGGACATAAGGCATCCCAAGCCCTGTCCTGTTCAGAGGGTGCTGGGCACTGCAGAGCGTGGTAAGCAGTGGAATGGCATGGCTGCTGGAGGCAGGAGGAGATAGAGCAGCCTGTTGTTTTTGTTCGGGTAATGATGGGATTGTGGACAAGGGAAGGCCTGGTCATGGTGGAGAGTACACAGAGAAGGTATACTTGGCAGGGCTTAGCAACAGGGGAGGTTAGAAAGAGAAGGAATGAATTGGGGCTGGAAGGTGATGTCACAGGCTGAGACGTGGAAGAGTGCAAGAGATGAGTTTGGAAGGCAGTTAACTTCGGTTTGAGCACCTTGCTTTTGAAAATACTGACAAACCTGAGACCCATGTATCTTCTCCCAGGGATTCTGATCCTTAGCAGACCAATTGCAGAGGAAGAAAAGCAGCTGGAGTGAAGCCAGACAGTCCTAGACACAGAGTGAACATTAGTCTATCTGTGGAGCAGACAGACTGTTGCCTGGGCCAGGCTTCTCCCTAAGACTCCAGGCTTCTTCTGCCCCTTCTGAACCTGGTTTTCTGGTCGTCCTTTCCAAAATGTGAACTTCCTTTCTTACTTTCAGTCATTCTTCCATTTGTTTAAACAGCCCAGGGCTGATGTATAGCACTTCAGAAATATATGAATCAGGATTAACTTTAATGGGTAATGAAGTCAGCCTTCACGAAGACTAGGCATTTATTAGGCTTAGAGCGGGCCCAGGATTCCAGGCATAAGGTCCACTGAGAGTAAAGGTCAGGGTGCACAAAAGCCTGCCTTGTCTGGGGAATGGAGAGGAGACTCAGACAAGGTCAGTTTGGCTAGAGTGTGAGTGGCCTTGAGTACCCTGCCTGACAGAGGAAGGTTTGCTATCTGAAACATCCTGCAGTACCCAGGCAATGAAGTTCTGAGTTCTCAGGAAGCCCAGAAGATGTCAGTCTGCTCTGTCTATGGCCTTGTGCATCTGAGACCAGCAAACTGCCCCCAAATGTTTCCATTACAGGAAACATTTCCTGGGCACACATCCAGACTACACCTCCTAGATTCCCTTGCAATGAGTCCTGGCCAGTGAGATATAGATAGAAGTGCTATGCCTTGTCATCACAAAGTGACCCCCTTTTTCTCTTGCTCTATGTACTTGTTCAGTGTTGATGCCGAAGGCAGGGCCTCTGTCAGCCCAGCTCCTCTAATGATGGTATGGAGCAAAGCCCCCACCTCAGCCAACTAGATTTGAACTGAGCAAGAGTTAAACTTTCATTCTCCGAAGTTATGGAGATTTTAGAATTTATTTGTTATAGCTGCTAATCTTACCTAATGCAGATTTTGCTAGCCCATAGGACATAAAGTAGCTTTTTAGGGTCTGGTAGGTTGTCACCAGAGGTTTATACCTTGGTTTAGCACTATGGCTTCTCCTCTCCTTTATTTTAACTAAGAACAAGCCCAATAAAATAGCTTTAATAGTTGAATTTCAACATTAATTCCAGCTGTTTGGAAACTTCACTGCTCTCCTGGGATTGGGTGAGCAAACCAGTGCTGGGAAAAGAAACCTATTGAAATCCAGATTTTTTTTAGGAAAGGTTACACAGGCACTATGAGAAGTAGAAGTCTGTGAAAATATTCTGGAAGCCCAAGAAAGCTCTGACATGGAATGGAATGTAACATTTTGTGAGGAAAGTTGTACTTTTTTTTTTTCTGTGCCGGGGATCGAACTCGGGTCCTGGTGCTTGTGCAGCAGGTGGCAAAACCACTGAGCTAAATCCCCGGCCCAAAAGTTGTACTTTTATAAGCTCATGGAGACTCAGGAGAGATTAGGATCCTTGGGAATTATTTTCCTTTCATGGCCCTTTTGTTTTGAGACAAGGTCTTGCTTTGTAGTTCAGGCTGGCCTTGAACTCACTATGTAGCCCAGGCTGGCCTCAAACTCTTGGCGATCCTCCTGCCTCAGCCTCACAAGTGCTGGCATTACAGGCGTGGGCCACCATGCCCAGCAGAGTCTGGTCTTTGAGCCCTTGCCTCCCCCTTCTCCCTGACCCTCCTGCTCTCCTCCCTTCACACCAGCCACAAGCCCTCCTGTGCCTGAACTTCACTGCAGCAGGGGCCTCTGTCCTAAAAAGCTTTGACTCATGCTATCCTCTTGGCCAGGTGTGCTCTCCTTTGAATGTCCCTCATGAGTGCTTGCTCCCTCCTTCCCTTCAAATCTGTAGCCAATGGCCCCACTCAGGAAGGCCTGGCCCTTACCACCATATGAAATTGCCACCCACTCCTCCACTGTTCCTTCCCTTACTTGCTCTTCTCTCAGCACTCATTTCCATCTGGCTTACATCTCCCATGTAATATGTACATTCTTCTTAGCCATTGTCTCTGTTCCTCTCTGAACTCTTAGTCCCAAAGAGTTTCCCAGTTTTGTTCACTGCCACATGCCAGGGCCTTGCACACTGTAGGCGCTTGGTAAGTACTTGGTAAATGGGTCATTCCCCAAAGCCTCCTGGTTTCTGCCAGCTGCTCTGACCCCTGATCATGCCTGCCTTATCTCATAGTGATTCCACATGAAGAGAGATAGTTTGGTGTTCACCACTGAATCTGCAGCACAAGGCTATGTCTGTGGTAGGTGCTCAACAAACACTGGTTCCTAACTGAAGGCCCAGAACTGGAACTGATTCACTTCTAGGTTCTTAGCATCTAGAGAATGCTGAGATCTGGATTCATTTGAGCAAGCAGCAGTAGTAATTGAGTGTTACACTTTTCATAAAAATTATTTTTGGTTTACTCTAATGTCATTTTAATAGGAAAGCCAGCCTGAATGAAAGAATATGTGACTCTAGGTTATCCCATATGTCCTCACAGATACTGTCAAATGGAACCCTGCTGCAGGCCTGGGACAGATTCCTCCCTGTGCCTGTGCATGGAGCAGGCAGGTGGGCCCGATTCTCTGCAGGCAAACAGAAGTGGCCCCAGGGAACAGATGAGGTTCTGAAGCAAGAATTTATTCCAAGTGCACACGAGGGTGTGCATAGCAATCGAAGAGCCTCATCACTGAGCAAAGACACAGTCACAGACTCTCATGAACAGTCTCCTATCCCAGTACTTCCTTTGCCATTTTTCTGAGATAGGGAAGAAAAAAGGCCTTCTAGTTCCCAAATAAAACACAAGTGCCTATGGGGTGAGAGAGAATTACAGAGCCTTATTTTTATTATTATTTACCAAGACAAAAATCAAAATTCCTCCCTGCTCCAACCCCACTTCTACCACTTGGGCCCTCAGGGAGCAGCATCTCCCTGAGGAGCACTGGCTGCCAGAGCTGTCCTTGGAGTCCAGGCACCTGTACACGGCCACCCCTCGTGCCTGAAAGCCAGCCACAGGCCCCTTCCTCCACGACGTGGGTGTGAAAGGGCAGCTGGCATTTCTCCAGCCTTCAGTTGTTAGCTTTGGGAACTTGGAAAAGATCAGCGATGTCCAACAGGGCTTGCCGGATGTGGTTCCCAAAGCGTTGAGCATTCTGTGGGAACTGAGAGCTCAGGGACACCTACCCATGACCTCCCACCACCCTCTCCCCACACACAAGGACTCTTCCCCAGTTAGAGACGCAGTGTGCTCCCGAGCTGCCCCTGATGACAACCCTCCTCAGAGCTGAGCAGGAACAGGGGAGACTCACCGTCTCTGAACTTGAGAACTTGCTAGAGACGTGGAAGAAGATGGTGTTTTCACCTGCAATCATATAGGAGACCCCATACCCATCATCTGCCACCTGAGGAAGAGGTAAAGGGGTAAATGTAAACTGACCTTGAAGAACTAGAGGCCAGGCTCATGTTGTGTTTGGTCTTTGCACCAGAACTGCAGGAAGAGGCTCCATTCTCCCTGGGGTCAGCCTCCCCCAACCTAGGAAACTGTGAAGACAAGGACTATTGCCTCCTGTGGTTCTGGACCCTTCTGAGGGAGGGATCCAGGATTCCCGATTTCCTCAGGGGGCTCATAGTTGAGACTACTCCCTCCCTTCAGGGGGTCTCTGGTCTTTTGACAAACGAGCCCGTGTACATGTCTCAGCATGTCTCCTTCAAAAGAGCTGGACTCCTGGGGAAACATATTTTCAAAGGGCCCAGTGTATTGGTCTGTCCCGGGGCATGGTCATATTCCAGCAGGGAGGCACCTGGGTTGGCTGGTTCAGGTTCTTGTTTCTGTGGCCCAACTGTTACCATTCTGCCCTCGTGCAAGTCCAGGACTCTCCTCGGATTGAGGTGTCCTGTTCCCATGTAACCTGGTCAAGGTTCTCACTCCCCATGGAAAGCCTGGGCCCCAGTGCTGCCCACCACCCCCTTCAGCGGTACTCACAGGGCCAAAGCCACCTCCTGCGGCCAGGTAATTGGGATACTGGTTTGGGTCAAACATGCGGATCTGGGACTGAGGGATCTGGCTGGTGGAGAGGCGCCAGGGTTCCGATAGCACCTGCAACAGGGAGGCTGAAGCTGGTCAGATGCTAGGCACTCAGCAGGCAGCTGTCTGGCTGGTGGCAGCAGAGAGCTGGTCTGCGACGGGCACCACGTGTCCTGTGGGAGGGTGCGTGCAGAGCTCCCTGGGCCGTGGTCCCCTGGTGCCCACAGCCTGTTTGTAGCCTCTCAGCCTCTGCACAGATCCATCTTGCTGTCCAAGACCTGTCTGACCTGCTGTCCTTCCCCTCGCTCTGCCCCTGCCTCTCTTCCTTCTCTCACTAGCACGGTTGCCACCCGACAGGTCACATTTTGTCTGTTTTCCTTCACAAGCATGCCGATTGCACCAGAAGGACCCTGTTTCTGCTCCATCCCAGGAGTTCAGGCCTGGGTGTGCTGTGCTGTGGGAAAGCTGAGCCCTGCCCTCCAGGCAACTCCAAGGGAGTCAGCTGTACAGAAGGCAATACGAGCCCCATTACAGAATTCTGGCTGAGCCCCTGGACCTGAAACTGAGGGCATGAGGACACACCCGTCCACCACACTGACCTCTGCCAGGAATGGGGAGCGGACCCCCAGGTACTTAGAGACCAAGTAAAGGCAGAAGAGGTGCCTGTCAATGCCAGCGCCCGTCATGGCTAGGCGGTACATGTTCTGGTGCTTCTCTGAAGCTTTCCGGAAGAGATTTTGGAGGTCTGCTTTCTGCGGGGAGAAGTAGAAGGGTAAGGAGTGTGGTCCTTCCCCTTGAGGCAGACAAGAGGTGCAGGGAGGTGTGGAGAAGGGATTGGGCAGGCTCACCACGTGGGGCCCCTTCGTCATGGCCTGCACAAAGACTTTAGACTCGCTGGTACAAGAACGCACAGTCTCGGTCCGGCCTTCTCGGAACATTCTGGTCATTGAGGCCTCATAGGTCAGGCAGAACTTGCCCTTGTCCTGGGGCACAGAGGGGGTGAATCTGGCAGGTGGCCCCTATGCTGCCCCACCCACTCAGTAGTCCGAGGGAGCTCCTACCCGGAAGTGAGCCAGCTGCAGGGCAATTTGCACGAAGGCATCAGGGCTGGTCCGACACTTCTTGATAAGGCCCTTACCAAAGGGCAAGAACTGGAAGCAGTACAACTCCACATCGTCTGCCAGTGCCTTGGCTACTTGGTAGGAACTCTCGATGACAGCCTGACACTGCCAAGACATGGAAAGAGGTCAGCTATGGGCAGAGCTCTCCAAGCAGGGCTCTAGGTCATGTCTAGGAGGCATGAAGTTTAGGCAACAGATAAAGGACAAAGTGAGCCTAACATCTCCCAGAGGAGGGACACAAAGGCCAGGCTGAGCTGGGAGGGCAGAGAGGCACCGCCCATGGCTCAGAGACTCTGCCTTCCCTGAACCCTACCTGACATCCCGAGAAGCCCTGGTCCCTTCCTCCTAAGGACCATGCCAAGTGTGGGGTCAAGAAGGGAGGAGAAGACACAGCACCTCACACCTGCCCCCCATCCCCCAGCCTGCACACCTGCTCAGGAATGTCCCATTGGAGCCGCTGAGGAGGTGCCAACATCGGGTTTGGTTCGCCCAGGCAGTGCCCACTTTCTGTGTAGCCCAGGTGTAAGGTGTCCGTGCCTAGGACAAACTGCAAGGAGAAAACCCAGCTAAGAAACAAGCCTCAAGCCAGTGCCCACCCTGCAGAGCCCCTGTCCAGGCCTGTTACCTCCCATAGATGCCCAATAATAGGGGCATCTGCCCATGCATGTTCTGTGTTGAGGCCCAACACACCATTCTTGAAGGAAATAAGAGTGAAAGACTTGTCAAACCACCTGAAAGAGTAGACACAGGGATGAGCCAGAGCTGGGGATGTACATGGGACCCTAATACACAAAACTAGCCATCACCAACCTAACTCTCCAACTCTAACTACTATCCGTAACCCCAAACCTAACCCTACACTTAACCCCTATTCCTAACCTTCAACTCTATCCCTGTGTGTAACCAATAGCCCAATAGGCACCTCTATCCCACCACAAGTAACACTACCTAACCACTAGTTATGACATTAACTTCTACTTTAATTCTTCAGCCCTAACAGTAACCTCTAAACCTAAACCTTAACCTGAAACCCGAACTCCTAACCACTAACCCCAACATCTGACCAGGGGGCTAGGACACACACCTGTTGTAGCAGTTGCCATGTAGCAGAGCCTTGCCATACAGGCTGAGACTGGCCTCATCATCAGGGCTGTAGCAGTGGGACTCCTCGTCCAGGGCCACAAAGAAAGCAGCGCGCTCAATGGCATCCAGAGAAGCCTTGTTCTTGCCAGAGCTGAAGAAGGTCTGGCGTGCCTGTGCCCACTCTACCCTGGGGGCACATGGGCAGCTGAGTCGTGGAGCCAATGTGAACTTGGGATGAGGGCCCTTCCGGGATGGATGGGGTCTGGTGGGGCACCTGGCTTTCCTAGAAGGTACTCTCCCAGGTGGCTACCAGCTGTCAGGTGGATGACGCCAGCTCTCCACTGCCACTACCACCAGGACCCATCAACAATCACACAGGGCCTACATGCTGCCATTTGGTTGCGCCTCTGGCTCCCAGTCCCAGGGTAACAGGAAGAGCCAGGCTCCTCTCCTCAAAGGGCCTTGAGGGCCGGGGATTTAGCTCAGTGATTCCGTCGCCTGCCTTGCAAGCGCAAGGTCTCAAGTTTGATCCCCGGTACCAAAAAAAAAAAAGGGGCCTTGAACCTAGGCTAAGATAACACAGGCTGGTACCTTCCCCCTGCAGTGAGGGCCGCCAGCTTTTCCTCCCCAGGCTGAGGTGGGGAGGGGTCGTCCAGGATCCTCTGGAACTGCATCTCCAAGTCCCGAGGCTTAAGCAGGCGAGAGCCCTCATAGAGCCACACCTTGAAGAAGCGGCCCTTGTGGTAGACGGCCACGTGTCTGCTCTCCGCGAGGTGCTGCAACACATCTGTGATGGCCAGTGGGCAGGCTGAGGCAAGGCCTTGGGAAGCACCAGACCCCACTCCTGAGCCCTGGAAAGGTCCCATTTCCCACACATAAGTGGCCCTGCAAACTTGGCTTTGCCCAGCCTCTGCCTTGGCCCTTCCTTCCCCTGGCCGGGGTGGATCCAGTGTGGTAGGCCAGCTCCTGTGTGCTGGGTGTTCCCATGACTTCTCACAACAACCCTGTGAAGTACCCCACATAGGAGGAAGCCTATGTGAACTGCCCAAAGAGGCAGGGTCAGAAACAGGGAAGTCAGCTGCCTCTGCCAAACTACTGGTGAGCTCCTCTTCCCTCTTCCAAAGGCTACATGAAGGGCAGCTATGCTTCTGCTGAGCCCCACTACCACACAGTGCTCCTTCCCATGACCACCTTCCCATGCAAGGAGTCTTAGAGGAGAGGAGCTCTGATCTGGGCTTCTTGGGGTCCCGGCACCAGTATTCCACTGTAAATAACAGATGTCTAGGATTTGTTACAAACTACTCCTCACAGGTTCACTACTCTGAGACACCTGAGGTGACTGGTTATGAGGAGGTAGTAGGGCACCCGGCCATGGTGGGCCCAGAGCTGGGCCTTGGTCCTGATGCGTACCTGTCTCCTTGCCAGGGATGCGAGTGGTGTTGAACATCCTTTCCATCTGGTAGCTGCACATGGGCACCATGCCTAGTGCCATCACCTGCAGGGAAGGTCCGACGCGGCTCAGGCCCAGGTCCCTCTTCTCATCTCACCCTCAACCCTGATGCAACTCACAGGCTTGATCTCTTCACGGTCCAGTTTGCGACGATACATGATCATGGCATGGACAGCATTTCCCAGGCGGGCAGCCTGCACATCTGTGTTCTTGACAAGCACAAGGTCCTAGAGATAGAGCAGAGCCCACAGGGCAGGAACCTCTGTCTGGGTGTCATCTGGGTCTCATCATCCTGACAGCCAATTCATTCAGAGGCCTGGGCTTGCATTTTCTCTCTCCAAACCATCCTGCAGGCTGTCAGGGTGATCTTCCAAAAATGCACAACTGACATGAATGCCTCTGCTCCAGCTGTGACCAGAGCTGCTTTTTATACCTATTTTATTTGTTCAGGTTTTGCTTATTTTGCTTCAAAGAAAGGGTTCCACCACTCAAAAACAGCTTAAAACTTTTGATTTGGGAAGGGTGTATCTGCATTTCTGGAAGGACAGTTTGTGGAAGATGTGAATTCCAGCAGGCTATTCAATGGAGTGTGCTTTTGACAGCAGGAGAGGAGAATGCATACTGGGCAGCAGGAGGCCGTCTGGAGACAGTCAGGAGCAGTGCCAGTCACGTGGGGTGACTTCCTGAGTACTAAGAGAATAAGCCTGGCTCTTCTTGTGGTCTGGCTCCACAGAGGGACAAAGCAAGGCATGTTAGAACTATCCCCGGAAATGGTGTCAGGATACCTGGGAACTTATGACTAGGGTGCCAGTGAGGAAACCAAGGAAGGAAGTGACTCGGTGTGAGCTGGGCAGGCACAGTGAGCCCTGAGAAATTTCCAGAGGCAGTGACAGGCTGTGGTGTCTTGGCGTTTTCCTCGTCCTGAGGATCCTCAGTGGCCCTAAGGTGCTTCTAGACTGCCCTTCCCTTCCCTTGTGCCTCAGACTTCACTCCATAGCACCCACCCACCCATGCAGACTGCCTGCAGTTGTCTTCGTTCCATAGTCGAGGACACAGCAAGCACACACAAGAAGCCTGAGAGGCTCAGGTTCTTACCATCACGTAATAGTTGCTGTTCACCGTGAGTGGGGTTCTGCCTCTGAGGTAGATGTACTCTTCCCACCAGTCACTCACCTGTGGGTAGGTAGGAGGTTAAAACTGGGGAGGAGGCAGCCAGGGCATATGGGTCAGGTGGAGCCCAGGAGGGCAAACTCACGTAGTTAGTTGCCCACCACGACTTGAGTATCAGGTACTTCTGCAGCCTGGGGGCAGTCTTGTCCTGGAATTCTTTGGCTAAGGTCTCCATGCGGTAATATTCCTCATCATCCAACAAGGGCTGCACAGACTCCAGGTACTGTCCAGCCAAGTGGTCATCATCACAGGGCCAGACATCACTGGCTGCCTTGGTCCTAACATTCTCCCCACCACTGCTTCTTCACCCAGGCCCAATCACTCTCAAGTCCACTATTTAAAGGCAACTAGCATCTGTGTTTAGATAAGTCCTCTGAATTTAGCCTCCCACATCCAGCAGGACCCAGGCCCTCACCCTCTGAATTGTGGCTCGCACGCCGGGCACAGGAAGCTTGGGCAGAGATGTCTGGAAGCTGTAGAGCATGGGCCGCTGGCTGGACAGAAGGCGAACACCGATCTGGGAGCACAGGGCACAGTTTTAGAGTGGAAGCTAGCAGGAAGGATGGACATAAACCAGCAAATGACTGAGACCCTCAGAACCATGCCAGCCACTTTCAGGACAAACCCAACACTGGGCACTAGCACCCAGTCTGGCTACCCTTCCTACTCAGAACTCCAAGTGAAGCCCTGAGGCTCAAATCAGATGCCTGCACCCTCCAATGCTTCTGCTCACAGCCCAGATCTTGGTGAAGTGGCTGGTCTTGCCATGCATCTCAAACATCCACCCATGGTAGGAAAGCAGCAGCTTCAGGGTTTGGCGGAATAAGAAGATGCCTGTCACCCAGACCCCTGTGGAGAAGATGGCCATGCTGAGAAGTGCCCGAGTCTGTGGGGTCTGGTAGGGGCCACACCTGTGAAAGAAGGAGGAAGGTTTGCAGGGGATCCTCTTGGGGCCAGCCTTGGGGGAATTCTTTTCTTTCCCTCTTTTTTTCAATACCAGGGATTAAACCCAGGGCCTCTACACTGAGCTACATCTCCATTCCTTTATTTTTTTATATTTATTTTGGTTTTCTGAGACAGGGTCTTACTACGTAGTTCAGGCTCACCTTGAGCTCACTACATAGTCTGGGATGGCCTCGAACTCATGGCAATTCTCCTGCCTCAGCCTCCTGGGTAATAGGATTAGAGGTGTGAACCACCCTGCCTGGTGACCTGGGGAAACTGACTCTGCAGTGGGTGGTTATGGACTGACTCTGGTGAGGCACTGAGGAGCAAGAACCTCTCTGGCTATACTCAGGTCTGAGTTGTCAGGTATGAACTAATGTGGGACTGGAGTGATGGTGGCCCTGGGGAAAGGCTGCCCTTGTGGCCACTGTGGTCGCTGTCCTGCATCTGGCCTTGGGAGCTGGCCTGGCCTCCCCGCTCTGCCTGACTCTTGTGCTCTCCCAGCTTACCTCTCAGGGAGGCACCTCTGGATACAACAGACCAGCCCCATAGAGATGTCCACTTCGCAGTAGGAGAAACCCACCGTTGCCATGACAATGGCCAGCCAGCTGGTGGGGCTGCCAGGGTACACACCCCTAAGAATGCCATTCTGTGGAGCAGAAACAGGCACCCTTGTGGAGCAAGAAACTGAGGAAATCAGACAACCTGGAGTCCCGGCAAAAGCCTCCTGGTCTTTGCTCAGCCGCCTTCCATGCTCTTCCTAGTCCTGCTCACAGGTTCACACCTGCACATGCTGTTACTCACTGCTCCCACCACATCTCAATCACCCACTCTGGTTTCTGCCCTGCTGGCACCTCTACCTGGCAGCACTGCAACTGGAACGGTGACAGACCCTGTCAATGGGCAGCAGCTGACCCCCCCGAGACACACACACACACACACACACACACACACACACACACACACACACACACACACACACACACACACACACACACGCTGGAAAGGCTGGGAATACCACCTGCGCCCACCTTGATGCGAATCAGGCGTTTCTTCCAGGAGTTGATCCCGGACAGGTAGATGTGTTTCAGGGCTTCCCTACTGAGCCGGAAGTCCACCCCGTCTGGGGTCACGGTGAACTGGAAGGCCACGGCCTGGTGTGCTTCCGCCATCCCGGGGGTTGGTCGGCACCTGCGAGGGGGGAAGCGGGGGGGGGGCGCAGCACGCTCAGGAGGCCCCGCCCCGGCCCGCGCCCACCCTGGCCCCCGCCCTAGTGGCCGCCCTGTTTGCGCCCCCACCTCGCGCCCTCCTGCCCGGCCCAGCCTTCCTGCCCGCCAACCGCCGCCAAACCCTCGCGCTGGCATCCAGCCGGCCACAATGGGGCAGGGGTTCCAGAGGGGTCTGGGCCTCGAAAGCCAGGAGCCCCAAGGACCACAAAGGCACGCTCTAGGTGAGGGAGAGGCACCCCAGGAAATGGAGTTGGCCAGGACACGGGGGTTTCCGGCAGGTGCTGCCAGCCTTACGGGGCAGGACCCCAGCTCTGTGCTCCTCCTGAGCTGGGTTGGGTTCCAGGACAGGGGAGAGGGCTCGGCAGGCAGGGGCAGGCGCTGCGGACCCTACTCACAGCTCGGGTTCACTCCCGTCAGTGCATGGGGCAGGTCCCCACGTCCTTCAGGCCTCGCCACCCTGGCCCCGCCCTCACTGGCAACCTGACACCCACTCCCAAATCGGGGTTGAGAAAACAAACCAAACGCAGAGCCCAGGACTCCCTCCCCTCCAGGGTGGAAATCAGGAGGGGTGGACAGGGTTCTCACAGCTGAAGGCTGCTCCAAGGTCTGGGAGCCTGGGGAGACTCAAAGGATCTCACGTGAGGATGGTGGCATTAGAGCTAAAAATAGCCAAATGTGGGGAAGAGGTCATCAATGTGTCAGCTGCGCAGGCTGTTCCTGGATTCTGGTCAGGGCTGGCAGCACCAGGGCCCTTTTTGTAACTCCTACCACTCCCCACCCCCACCCCAAGGCCTCCTAGTGTGTTAGGTCTAAGCTGGAGCCAGGGGAGTGGGCTTAGGGCAGAGGATCCCAGTAGGCAGACACTGAACAGAGTGGTCACTTCGCCTGTGTGGATCCTTCATGTGGTATTCCTGCCACTTCTGAATAGCATCAAGACACAGTGTGAAGGAACAAGCTCATTTATTTAAGTGTACAGCTGTGGGGCTCCTGCCTGGCCGCCCACCCCGGAGACCTGCTCAAAGTGGGGGAAAGGTCGGTCTCCTCAACCACTGTCTCATTTGGGGACAGCCCAGTCCCCCCTCCAAGGTCCTGCCCTGGAGGCTCCAGGAGAAATCCAAGGACTGAGGGTTGGCCAGTCAGGAAGATGAGTGGAAGCTGGTCAGCTGCCTCTTCTGCTGGAAGTAGAACTGGAACCGAGATTGGGCATACTCCTAGGGAAGGAAGCCCACCCCACAAAGCGATGAGAAAGCCTGGGACCAGCACACTACACCGCCTTGGCTGCCCAGATTTCCTAGAGGACGTGTAGCTCTTTCTGCTCCCCAGCCCACATCTAACATGCCCACTTCTTGGGCTACTTACCAAGTAACCAAATTCTATGGTGGACATAGATGCCTGGAGGATAGACCACAGACCCCAGAAGAAATGGGACGCCAAAGCATACCTGGGAGTAGGGGGCAGGAATAGTAGGGGCTTTCAAGATCACATTTGGTGTTATCTGGATCTCCTCCCCAGGCCAGTCAGTTCCCCAAATTCTAACCTCTTCCTCCTATTGTCCTAATCTCTACCTTGTCGATTCTTCCAGCTCTCAAACTCCTCCTCCTCCTCGCCTCAGACTTCATCTTCCATCTCTGCCCTACTCTGTGCTGTCATCTTATATGGAGCCCCATCTAATCCCTGCCTTACCCTCAACCTGTTCCTTCTTCCTCACCGATTAGCCTCTACCAGCAAATCTTCTTCCAGTTTGTTCTGCTCCTCTTGGGGAAGAATCTCACCTTTCTTTACCTCTGCTAGGTAATGGCGAATAAAATGGAGCTGAAATCAATGACAAGAGTCAGAAACTGAGTGGCACATTTCCCAGTTCATATCCTTTCTGGCTATTTCTTCCAGACTTAACCTCCATCCTCCCTCACAGGATGAGTCATGCCTCTTGGTCCCCAGTTGGCATACCTGTTGTTCCCGAGTAGGGTAGTCTGTTGGCTGTGCTTTGTAGAAAGGCCATTCCTCATGAGTATAATTGTAAACCCACTCGCAAAAATGGTTCCCAATGTCAAAGCCTCTGGGGGAACAAGGCAGAGGTTCAGACCCCAAATACCCTGGGCAGCTGGGTTAGAGACATGAAGATCTAATCTGTTTCCTAGGGCCCTGTGGGAACAGGTCCATAGGAGGCTCCCCTCCCACCTTCACCTGTAGTTGTAACTACTGTACTCAAAATCAACCAGCATCAGACTGTCAGCATTTTCTGGCTCTGAGAGCAACAAGATGTTCCCTGGGGAAACAGGGTGGGGTTCTGGTCACTTCAGAGCTTTTCTGGCCCCTCCACCTTGGATTGAGAGACTCAATCTTTTGTCCTACCTTCCTGGACGTCATTGTGGCAAAAGACCACTGGTGATGGGGTAGATTCTAGCAACTTCCTGTAGTGATAGAGAGGAATGGGTCCTGAGTGACTAGAATCACCCTCATAGGCCAGGCCCTGACCCCAGCCATAAGCAAATCATAGAGAGGACAATGCTCCTAGAAGAGGTGCCACTTCCTTTCACCTGGCAACCCCATCCTGTCTGCCCTCACCTGAGGTTGTCCATCTCATCCTGCAGGCTGTACATCTCCAGCAGGTCCATCTGGAGAAGGGTAGCAGAAGGCAGGTCCTGGATCTGCTTTAGGTACCTGAAACCCAAAGAATATGGTACACTGGATCTGCTATCCATCCCACCCCTCTCCTATCTCCACCTCAGGCCAGACTACGTCACCTGTTTTCCTGTCACTGTGACTTGGCTGGGAAACCTAATCCACTCAACTGGAAGAGTGGGTTTAGTTCAGGTGTGCAGGTTCCAAACCGGACTCACCGCTCCATGGTCCCAAATAGCCAGTGGGGCTCCTTTGTGAAAGGCATCTCCATGCCATGGAACCGGGCCATCTTTGCGGCAATAGCTGCTGACAACACTGGCTTTCGAAGCTCTTGAGTTTTCAATGGCCGGCTCTGCACCCAGGAGCCTATCAGGGTGGTGAGGGGGCTGGGGCAGGAGGGGGAAGGGATAGGAGATGGGGGGAGGTCAAGGTCTTGGGGAAAGTCCCTGCCTGCTGGGATGTGAAGACATTGGGGAAGGAGACAGGGGATGAGGAAGGAGAGGCGGGACTCATACTGGGAGGTACTGTTCCAGCCGGCCCTCTGGAAAGACTCCATAGAGCTGAGGCCCCAGCGACCGCTCTGCAAGGATGGCGAACATCACACTTTCAAGCACCAAGGACTCCACGCCCTGAAGGAAGATGGATAGCAAAAGGGCCCCAGTCAGGAGGGGCCAGAGCCTAGTGAGCGCTGGCGCACACAAGAAGGTCTGCTTTCCCCACCCACTACAGGTGGGACTTTGGGTCCTACTGCCTGGGGGCTCCGGGGCACAGGATCTAGTATGACAAGGTGCAAGTATTTTTTTTTTTTTTTTTTTTTTTGCACCGGGGATGGAATTCAGGACCTTGCGCTTTCGAGACAGGCGGCGGCACCAGTGAGCTAAATCCTCGGCCCCAGGTGCAAATAATTTAACCCCTGAGCCTTAAGAGTCCTCAACTGCGCAATCGAGACAACACTACTTGTCCCACTTAAACCATAGGTCTTAAACTAAAGTCACCGGCCACTGCGACTCTCACCCGCACCCTCACCTGCAGGATGGCCCCATACAGCCGTAGCAGCACTTCCCGGGGTTCCTCACCAACGTTGGGCAGGTGGTTCGGAAGCGAGCAGCGGAAGAGCAGGTTGCTGAGGCCTCCGCTGCAGACCCACACCCGGTGCGTTCAACCCCGGATCAGCCCCGACCGCGGACCTCGCCTCCCAGCTGGGCCACCAGTAACTCCGGTCCCACCCGGTCCACCACTAAAACCTCTGGGGTCCAGCCCACAGAGAACCCCGCCTTTCATCCCCCCCCCTCCGCGGCCTGTCACTAACCCCGCCCCCGGCCCACCAAGGCCCCGCCTCCCCCGCCTCCCGGCCCGTCCCGGCCCAGACTCGGATACTCCGGGGCTGTAGGAGCAGGGAACGCCATGAAGAGCCCGAGGGTGATCCCCGACCCGGACCCGCGCACAGGAGGGGCTGACCCTTGACCTCCCACCTCACGGGGCAAACCCTCAGCTCCTCGGGCCGCACTCGGCGCCAGGCCCCGCCCAGGTACTCCCGGCACCATTGGTAGGCTCGGCGTTCGGCGTCACGCGAGAGCGACGAGGAGCGCCTCCGGTTCGGGGTCGCGTTGGGGAGCTTAGGCTGCTCCAAAGTGTCCTTGGCCAGACGGCCGCCGACAGCCCCGCCTCCGACCACAGCTGTCCCCTCCGTCGCCATGGCGCGGCCTTCGCCGGGCCCCACGCCCAACCGCCCTCAAATCCCTTCTGGCGGGCTCGGCTCCTTCCGGCCGCGCTCGGCCCCGCTTCCGCCGGCTTGCGTTTTTCCGGTTCTTCTCGGTCTTTCCGACTCTATCTGGCTCTGCACAAGGACTTTCGGCTCTCTCCGTGAGCTCAATTCGGGGGCTGTTTCCAAAGGCCGACTCGGCGTCTCTCTACCGTGCCCCGCCCTGCTCGGGGCAAAGACCATTGGCCTCTTTCCCGGGAGGGGCGTGCCCTCGGCTCGCCTTCGGAGCTAAGACAGACTTTAGCTTGGACGGCGCCCGGGACCGAGAAAATGTGCGCCAATCAGGAGCGTCGTGAGACGTTGCGCGCTCTGCGGCGCGTCACTTGGCGAGCGCAAGCCCCGCGGGGTCTGCGGAGGGCGTGGAGCAGAAGTGCGGAGTTGCTGCGACTACCGTACAGGCTTCTTTTCCAGGGCGGTTTGGTGACACCAGGGTGGATGAGAAACACGTTTAGGGGGTGGAAAGTGGGAGCACGTGGCAGGTGCCCAGCAAAGCAAACACTCGTCAATGAATGAGTGAAAGAATGGGGTCCTTGGGAAAATTCAAGGCTCCCTTGTCAGTAAAGATAACCTTGAATGAAGAGGCCTTTGCTGCCCTGCTTGAAGCTGTTGCCTTCACTGCCTTTCTTGGCTCCAGACCTAGGGCTAATTGCAGAATCAGACCCTGGAACAGGCACTTGGGCTTAGTCAGGTGGCCCTGGCCCAGTGGGCAGAGCTCAGCCTCACCTAGGAAGGAAGGCAGGAATGGCAGCCAGGAGGTTGACCCTCGGTGGCTGGACCTCGGTGCTGTTTGGGATAATAGGTGGGCAGTGAAGTAGCTGATTGGAATAAGCAGAAAGAAATCAAAATTGGGTGATGGGAAGGCTAATGTCACTTGCTGCAGCAGAACATCATAATCCCTTACTCTGTTTAAATCTGAGCCAGTTCTGAGACCAGAGCCCATTGCTTGAAAAGGAAGCTTGGCCCCTTTAAGGAAAGATCCTATCATGCCACCATAAGTATATACAAAAATTATTTTTCCAATCTTTCCCTAAAGGTACCTAGAGCCACAGTTTAAATTAATTTAAGTAACTACTTTGTAAAAGGAACTGTCAGAACCCGTCGAGGTTACATATGGGATCTTAGCTGGCATCAGGGCACTAGAAGCATTGTAATCCTCTGGTTAGAGTGGGAGTTTGTAGAAATCATGCCAAATGGAATCCTAGCCCAAGTCCTTGCAGTGCTTCAGGACTTACATATTGACCCTTGACTTGTGAAGTATGAACCATATGGTAAGGAGAGCAAAGTACAAACTCCCTACCCCAACCTATCCCCCCAGGATAGTAAATCAGAAACAATACTGAATTTTATTTTTTTTATTTATTTACTTTTGGTACCGGGGATCAAACTAGGGACCTTGTGCTTACAAGGCAGGCGGTGGAACCACTGAGCTAAATCCCCGGCCCTAATACTGAACTTTAGGTGGAGTTGCAAATTGTGTTACCCTCGTGGTCCCCATTTTATCCCTTCTGTCCACCTGGATGGACCCTGTGGACTATCACAAACTTAGCCAAATAGCATCCCCAATTAAGACGAGATCAGGCTCATTCAGGGTGGTATGGCTATAGACAATCTCCAGTTACAATGTGCTCACATGCTGGGTGTGGTAGGTTTTCTGGAACTGATTGATGTATCTGTGACATGATATTGAAAGTATTGATACAATGAACATTCTTTCCAATTCCCACTTGTAGGGAGGATCAAGAGCAGTTAACATTTATAAAGGAAGGACAACCATCCATATTATCTTGCTCCAAGACTGTCTTAACTCTACTGTTCTCTGTTACAATCTAGTCCATGGGGACTTTGTCATCTGGACATTCTACATACAATTGATGACATCATACTAAATGGACATAGTGAAGAAAGAGATAAGTGCATTTGCCTTGGGAAGACAGTACATGTCAGAGAATAAACACTCAGGTTATGCAGCTTGTCACATTAGTGAACCTCTTAGGGGTGCAGTTTTCTAGGGAAAAGCCAAGACATCATTTTTGTTTTTGTTTTTTGGTAATGGGGATTGAACTCAGGACCTTGTGCTTGTGAGGCAGGTGGCAAAACCACTGAGCTAAATCCCCGGCCCCCAGGACATCATTTTTAAGGTAAGGACAAGTTACTGCATCATGCATTCCTTCCTATCAAGGAGGTGTAGCACTTGATGTACCTGTCCACCTCAGAGTCACCATGTACCATACTTAGGAATACCATCTGACACAATTTTGGGGTAACTTAGAAAACTATCAGCTTGGGTGTGGCCCAGAGAAAAAGAGGGCTAGCTCTGCTGATGATCCAAATTGGAGAATGGGTCCCCCTGCCACTTAGCAGGACCAGTGGGCTAGGATTGGCCTCACTTGTGGAATATGAGGCTCCTGTGTGGTACCTCTAGAAAGCCCCAGCAACATAATTGCAGTACACAATCCTAGGATTCTGGAGCAATACCACTCACGGGTTAAAACAACACCTGGCATGCTACCAGACCCAAGAAGAGGTTGAACAACTGACTGTGATACATCAAATGACCATGTAACCCAGTCTGCCTGTTCTGGGCTAGATGTTGTTGGACCTGCCACGTCAATAGGTCAGGCAGGCTCAGTAGTATGTAATTCATGGTGCAATGAAATAGGTGTCCTTGGTGTTGAATCCAAGCTTGTCCAGAAGGCAGTAGTCATCTGTAGGAAGAGGTGGCCACAGTATCCTGTTTCCTACTTTGTTGCATTGATACCTCTCTTTTTATTTTTGGTACTGGGGATCGAACCCAGGTCCTTGCCCTTGTGCAGCAGGTGGCGGCGAAACCACTTAGCTAAATCCCCAGCCCAGTGATGCCTCTCTCTTAACAGACAAAAACAAAACAAAACAAAACTGGGTCTGGTTCATAGATGGGTCACCACAATGTGTTATGAGCAGAAAGTGACTGCTGCTATATTGCAGTTCCGTTCAGGGCACCTCTCAAGGACAGTGAGGGGAATCCTACAGAGGGCAGAGCTTCAAGCCATACACTTGGATGTGCTCTGTATGGGGGGAGTAGATGGAGTAGTGGTCCATGAGAGGAGTACATATGAACTGGGTTGTGATGATGTCTTGGTGCTTGGTCAGGAAAGGGCAAGAGGGCCCAGGAAGTGGTCACAAAATGTGTTTATCTCTGTGCCTCATGCTAATAGCTATTGCAGAGGAGTCACTAAACAATAGGATGGATAAGATCAGGTAGCTTTTGCCTTTGGCACCCTGTGCTTGTACAGTGGGCCCTGGGTAAGGTTGCCATAGTAACAGGAGTTCAGGTTCTGCCCACCAGCATGGGCTCTCTCTTATCGAGGCTTAACCAACTTTTGCTGCTGTTGAATGACCAGGTAGCAGCTGAGATCAAGCTTAGCCCTTACTGTGGGACCTTCCCAGAGGAAACCAACTAGTCATTCAGTGGAAAACTGGTTACAGCCCATCTTTTGTACCCCACTCATTCATCCTTACTGGAATTGATCCCTGCTTTGGGTATGAGCTGGCCTTTTTTATCCACAGTGCCTTAGGCTAACATCACTATCTTCAGTTTAGAATGCTCAGTTTACCAACATGTGATCATGAGTAACATTGCCTTAGGCCAAAAAATTCATTTCATAGTGAAAGAGGTGTAGCAATATGTGGATTGTCATGGGATACACTGCTTCTCTGATGTCCTGCATTATCCACAAGCAGCCAGACTAGTAAGAGATGGAATGATGCTATAGGTGTAGTGAAGGTCCCAGCTCTAGGACAGTATCCTGAGGGGTTGGGGTATTTTCAGTGAATCAAAGTTTCATATGTGTGTGCTGTGCCCTCAAGAGATAGAATGTGAGGGTTTAGGAACCTATAGGTCCAGGAACCTATAGGTTGGGATTAGCTACTTCTTACTATCATCCCCAGGAACTTGCATGTAGAATACACAGCTGTGGAATCTGCTGGAGTGGAGTCTGGTTTCCAGGTAGGAAACACGTCCATGAAGGGACATCCATTAGTAAGAGGAAACAATACCACTTCTCTATCAGAATCTGCAGATACCACCATGTCACTCAGTTCCTCCTGCAGATAGGCCAGCAGGCAAGAGGAGATTGTTATGGCTTAAATCTAGATGTTCCCCCAAAGCCTCATGTGGTCATAGGTGGGGCTTTTCGAGGGTGGCTAGATCTAGGGTGTGTGATGGAGATTAAGGGTGTTTGATTGCAAAATTAGTTCACTGATTGGTTTGACACAGTTCTGAGTAGGATTCAGTATGAGTGCTACCTTCACTTAGGTACAGAAAGAAAGTTTATTGCTTGCTGCCTTCTTCCTACCATAAACTGTTTCTCCTCTGCCATGCTGCCCTGCTTTGAACTGTGAGCTAAATAAACCTTTCCTCCTTTAACTTTGGATATCAGCTATTTTGTCTAAGCAATGAGAAAAGTAACCAAAACTGAGATAATAGATTTTGACCATTATGAAGATACAGTGTTGCTACCACACAATGGGATGAGCAGGAGTCTGGCTGGTCCTTAGAGGAGTCATAGGTCAAGTTGTTTCCCTGCCAGATCATAATAGTGAAAGGCAGTTTCAGAAACTAGGGGCTCAGGGATGAAGGTCTGGGTGACACCATGAGGCAAGTGATGTTGGTCACTGAAATGCTGGCTGAAGGTGAGGCAGGCAGGAGGATAATGAAGGTCAGTTACAATAGTGGGGACTGTATTCTTGCATTAAGGTTTTGTAGGGACTGTAGCCAACCTTTACCTTGAAGAATTGTGTCAGAGAAGACTCCATGTAGACCCGAAGGGTGGAAGACAGTGTGGTGACTGATGCCCCAGCCCACCTTTGATGGCAGTGGACTTACAAAGCTGCATCTCAGGCACATGAGTGTCTGTGTTTCTGCCCCAGGCCTTCTGTAGCACCACAGAGTCCACTGGAGACAAATATCCATAGATAAGTAGTTGGCAGTCCCGGGAGGTTCTCAGTACATTTCTCAGAAGCCCTGGTAAGATGAGTGTGCTGTTGCCCAAAGCAGTAGACTCGGTGACACATTCCTTTGTCACACCCATTTCTGTTTCATGGGACAAATTCTAGAACAAGTCACTTGTACTTAGGGCTTTGTCTCAGGCTGTGCTTTCAGTGGGAGCTAAAAATGAAGACATTAAAAAATACTGTTTCCTATTTACATGAGGAAAATTGGAGGGCTGTATGCAGTAATGGATTATGGGGTATAATGCCAAGAACTAACTGTAGGTTAGTTAAAATTCACTAAGCTGAGTGCATTTCAAAGAGAATCTGGATTTGGTGTTTTGGCTCAAGCACTAGGCATAAGTATAACTGGCTGGT